TAATTAACCTAGTTAAGGCTTTACATGTCACTTTAAGCTGTAAAGAAGTGTCTTGAAAAATATCTAGTCAAATATTATGTACTGTTATCATGGCAAAGATAAAATAAATCAGTTATTAAAAATTTGTTATTAAAATATTGTTTAAAAATGTGTTTAAAAAATCTTATCCATTAAACAGAAATTGGGGGAAAAAATAAACAAACAGGGGACTAATAATTCAGGGGGGCTAATAATTCTGACTTCAACTGTAAATCAAGGGTGGGGGGGTTGGGGGGGGGGGGGGGGGGGGGGGGTTGTTGACATTACATGTTAATCAAGCACTCTCCCAGTCAAGTTCACTGTGCAGCTCTTGATCAGACAAAAAAAATGAACCAGATTTCATTTGAAAAGTCGAATTTCTGGCTTCGCATGACTGCCATTCAGGAATGTATTTTGCCCAAAATAGCCTGCCAATTAATCTCATAATCACTCTAAAAGGGGGGACTTATCTTGCTCTCTGACTTAAAGGGGAGGGGTTTCCTACCATAAAGGAGAAGCCTTATTGTGTCCTACATTCTCCAGTAGTATCAAAGTCTCAAAATCAAGGTAATTTCACAGCTATCAAAGTAAAGTGTAGCAAACATCAACTCCACAGATCACAACTCTGATGGCTGTGTGAGTGTGCTGATTATTGAGATGATGAGATAATCACCACATCTAAAATAGAGCAAACACATCAGTATACAAATGATGGCAGATTAGATTCAAGTGGGGATGGGGGTATCATTCAACTTGCGCGCGGCACAGGAGCTAATGCTAGTGAAATTAGCATGTTTTTGTCCTTCATCAGCACTGATTGTAGAGCTAATTACTTCCTTTACAAGCAGCTAAAAGAGAGGCAGAACATACACAGGCGTATTCAATCAGCCACACCGTATAAGTGTGAACCACAAGTGGATACATTGTGGTAACAATGTGATAACATTTCCTTAATGAAAGATTCGAACCCTCTGAGGTAACACCCCAGAGAAATGCTCAATGAATTTTATATTTAAGCCCTAATACTTTGCATCTGAAATGATATTGAGTTGATATTTCTTACTTAATTGCTTGCTTGTGCGGGGATGAATTTGTTCGATGGTTTTAATTCAGCGCTAGTAATTGCTTCAGGCTAAAGGAAAGCTAGGAATGACTCAGAAGATTCTATCCCAATCTCAAAAATAAGTCTGATATAATAAGAAGTGCAGATAGTAATATGGTGGATGAATGTCATCCACAGCCACCGGAGAGGTCTTTTGGCTCTGTTCCAAAAGTTAGTGAGTTGTTTTACACAGGCGTCTTTTAAAGTGTTGTCTTTGTAGTAGAGCTGCACAATTAATCGAAAAAAGATTGTGATCTCGATTCGACCCAACACACGATCTTAATTCAGCTCTTCTGCATTGACGACAGCCATAACATGAGCTGCACTCGGCAGTGAAAAGTGAAGCCGAAAGCACACACATCATTTAAATCAGGGATTCACAACCAGTGGGCCAAAGCGATGCTGCAGGTGGTTTCACGAGCTTAAAATTAACTTCATTATTGTACTGTAATTATTTGATTTCAATATTAAAAATGTTTTATATTAAAATGATTGGTGTTTCCACCTGACAAACTGAGTCTGACTCAAAGACAACAAAACATAATAGCCTTTGCACCTTTGCTGGCTCGCAGACAAATTTTACTGCACTGGAAATCTTTAAATCCACCTAAAGCATCACACTGGCTTCAAGATCTGATGTCATATTTACACTTGGAAAAAATTAAATATTCAATTAGAGGCTCTAGCAAATTCTCATATGTATGGCAACCATTATTAACATATTTCTCTGCTATAAGTGTACTTCCTGGGGAATAATGTGACTGTCTTGTATGTAACTGGAATCTTTTTTCTTTGTCCTTTCTTTCTCTGTCCAGAATCTCAAGCTTCTTCTATGTTAACTTACCATTGTAAGATAGCACAGCCTTATCCCTCATTGAATCACCCATTACTGTTGTCACTCTATTTCTATATGTATTTATAATTATTTTATTTATTTATGTATGTATTTATTTTTTTATTTATTTATTTTTTTTAAGATTTGGCAGCCCTTTTTTTTACATTTTTTAAAAATTCATTATTATTAATATTTTTTTATAATTTTCCTTTCATTTTTATTTATTTATTTATTTTTATCGTTCTTTAGGCAGTGTATTTAGGGGTCGTTAAAGTAGGTTTTTATATGTATAAAATGTATATAAAATCTCAATTTTCTGTATAAATAATGTAACTTGTTCTTGGCATAAAAAATAAAGGAAAAAAAAATGATTGGTGTAATTGCATTTCCCATTTTCTATTATTGATTACTCTAAAAGAGCCTCACTGTTAAATACAGACTTAACCGTGGCTGCACTTCCAGCTGCTGCACCTCAACTAGGACTACATGCTCAGCTGTGTAAAGCAAACCATCACGCAAATGTAAAGGTAACAAGATTAAAGTTAAAACTAGTTTGCGCGTGTCCCGCGTCTTTGTGTGAACTCTTTAAAACAGGGGTGTCCAAACTCAGTCCTGGAGGGCCGGTGTCCTGGAGAATTTACCTCCACCCCTAATCAAACACACCTGAAGCAGCTAATCAAGCTCTTACTTCAGATACTATTGTTCTGGCAGGTGTGTTGAAGCAAGTTGAAAGTAAACTCAGCACGACAATGGCCCTCCAGGACTGAGTTTGGACCCCCTGCTTTAAAATATCAGCATAGTGGTCCAAATTTTTGTTTTATAACGCAAGTGTGAGTTTTTTATAACGGACGCACGCCCATACAAGAGGATCTAGCGAGGCTTGATGGTGTTTCAGTAAACAGCTGTTCACTACTGTCAGCTAACTCAAAACCCAACCGCCTTCAAAACGATGCGTTTAAAGTATTTTTACTGTAATTTACTTTTTTTTTTTTAATGGATATTATGAATAGACGAATAGTGGTCAGTTCAATTAAAATCAGCAGCTTTTTTGTCATCTTTGTTCGGTATAGGTCAATTTATTAAAGAAAAGGTCCAAACACTCTGAAGTTGTAAAAAAAAATACCTGAAGAATTCAGGAGATTTGAATCTGTGGAAGTTTGAGCCCCTGTTTATTTTTCCCCCAATTTCTGTTTAACAGAGAGAAGATTTTTTTTCTCCACATTTTTAAACATAATACTTTTTATAACTCATTTCTAATAACTGATTTATTTTATCTTTGCCATGATGACAGTAAAAAAAATATTATATATATATATATATATATATATATATATATATATATATATATATATATATATATATATATATATATATATATATATATATATATATATATATATATATATATATGTAGTTTAAAGGGGCTAATAATTTTGTCCTTAAAATGGTGTTTTAAAAATTCATAACTCATTTTATTCCAGCCGAAATAAAACAAATATGATTTTCTGCAGAAGAAAAAATATTATCAGACATACTTTGAAAATTTCCTTGCCCTGTTAACCATAATTTGGGAAATAATAAAAAAAAAATTTAATTAAATTTGAAGGGGGGCTAATAATTCTGACCTCAACTGTATATCTCATGTCTGTGTGTTTTGTTTTTGCAGACTTTCATCACATTTTAGTGAAAGAATGCCTACACTATTTACATTCCTTATTTTGCAAAAACACACTCTTTTGTTACTATTGTGAGTGTACACAAAAAAAGTAGACACCTAACAGATTTGATTGACGTATTGATCTTATCTGTACAATCAAACCTGAAAGTATAATTTAAGTGCGATCTCTGACCCCTGAGGGTTAATGGCACATAAGGCATTAATTACAATTATTAAGTTAGCTTGTATAGATAACAATGTCATAAATGGCTTAGGGTATAATTTAAAAACACTTTTTTAATAGACAAAGCCTTTTAAATTCCTTTCAGAAGTAAACTGAATAAACACTGAGGGGGGAAAACAACATGTAAAAATGATCATTGGATCATTAGAGTAATTAGCTATTAGACTAACCGGTAGCCTTAAAGGTTGAGTTCAGTGCTACAAGCATGTTTCAGATATTCTGTACTTTGTGAGGTATTATCATGTAATTTGGCTGATGTTTAAATTCGAAACACTTAATCCGAAGAACACTAAGTATGGATACAGTTTCATGATGACCCCGGGTACAGTTACTATGCTCATAGTAATTCATCATAGAGGTAGATACTTTTGGGTCTTTGCTGAAGAAAGACACTGATATATTGAATTATTAAGCTTCAGTAATCTGCGTAACGTTGCTTGACCTCTACACTACCGCCAAGTCTTATTGCGGTATTGTAAGAGTCTCGGCCTCTGGGCTGAGCTGGGATTATGGTAATTACGATTATTATATATATTTTTTAAATGTAAAGATGATCTGACAGCTCTTGACAGCTACATTTTAGCTGACATGACCTTCAGGACTGATCTTCTCTCAACGGGAAGCCATCTTTCAGCACACTGAGAGGCCTGCGAGTAAAAGTGTAATCTGTTTTGAGGTGGTTAGGGAACGAGATCCACTCTACTGGGGGGTGAGCTACTGTTGCTGCAAGGCTGCCGACGTTCCTGTCCAGACAGGTAAACTTCTACCAATGAGGAAAGCGGTATCCTTCTCAGCGGGACGGAGTTTAGCCCCTGGAGTCTAAACACCAGAGAGGAATGGCTCTGTCTTTTGAAATCCTGAGGGATGCGTCTCTTATTATATGCTAACAACGCCTAGGATGTTGTTTACTGCTGAGACCCACCACTTCACCGAGATGTTGCTTTGCACTCGAGAAAGGTTTCCGGAATACATCAAGCACATATTAAATCTGAAATTAAAAATCAGTCATCCGTGACATTTGACACACAGACTTGGGTGCCAGAGGAATACCAACTCAGTGGCTGAAATCTTGCGACCACTTAAACAGATATCCAGGGAGAGACTATGTGTGTGTGCAGCTAGACGGATTTGAGACGGGGCTTACCGTGAGCTGGATCAGGTGGCCCAAACACCAGATTGTAGCGCAGAATGTAGAAGTTATTCCACACGTAGAGCTGGTTGTCCCTGGGGTTGTACTCCACAGCGGCTATGTACTGGTACTGGTTGGGGAAGTGGATGTCGACGTATTCGCCGTGGTTCAGTTTGGTGTTGTACATGTAGTCGATCAGGCTCTTGCTGACCTCACTTTCGTTGTCTTCGTAGGTGGATCGCACCACATAGAGAACTCCGCAGATCATGAAAGCGTTGGAGGCCGACCGCTTGTCGTATGTGGTCTCCCAGGTGGCCTCAAAGCGGAGGGTGTAGGGGTTGAGCTGGCTGATCACCATCATACCGTTGTTCTGCTCGGTGGCGTAGATCACCCAGAGGCCATTTTCATCAACCGCCAAGTCAATGTCTGTTTTCCCGCCCCACTTATACGGCGAAGTGTCATGATAGTTTGCGTTATTTATAATCGCCTCCCCACTTTTAATTCTAGTCCGAAGGTCAAATTTGACAATGTTACGTGTCCTCTCCTTGTTAAAAAACACCGCTCCGTCATATACCACAAATCCCGTGCCATCGACCCGATGGGGTAGTTTATACGTCGTAGTCTGTCGAGAGTTTTGAAAATCATCGAGCGAGTTGTACTCAATAAGTGTATCTGTTCTGTAAGGGGTCCAGGGCATGAAATAAACCTTGTCCCCAGCCTGGAGAGGGTCTTTGCACCACGACCCCGCTTGTTGCTCCGCTTCGTATAGAAACGACGGATCTCCAACCGCTTTCAGAGTTCCAGGACAAACAAAAACTAGTGATGGGAAGAACAGAGCAGAAAACAGTCAAACATAAGCAAGCGCAGCTCACGCCAGTTGAAAGCAGAGGGCAAAGGGCCATCTGACTCTACATCACTCTGATAAATGGGCAGTCAGTGAAGACAGAAACACACACTAAGAAGTCTAACAGCTACCCACATTCACAAGCAGTAAAAAAAGGTGCGAAGAATCTGCATCTGAAGGTTATTGAAGCTTAAACGGAAGCAGAAACAGGTTTTTTATGTGTCCGTAAGCAAGCAGCTCACTGCTGCTCGGACATACTGAAGGGGAGTGATGGAGAAATCAAACCACAACCAAACACAAAGGAAACAAAAAGGAAGGAATTACGACAAATCTGCCCTGCAAATAAAAGCAGACAACTAAATAAGGCTTGAGACAGACGCGGAGAAGAGCAGCATTCAGGCAGTCTGTGTCCTGAGACAAGTTTTTCCACCGTTTTAACGTCTTTCCTACGGGCCTAATGTTGCAATCACTTTAGAGGGTAAAGCATTTCCTTTCTTCTTAACAAAGACATGATAATCAAACATGGAGAAAGGGTAAGTGGAAAAAAAACAAGAGAGAGGGAAAGCGAGGGAGAGAATCAGAGAGAGAGTTGGAGAAAAGGAAAGTGAGAAACAGTAGAGGCAGTGTAAGCCTAGAAGAAACCTGTTACCAGAGCATGCTGGGTTCGTGGCAATAGGGCTGGGGTTCGTACAGGCAATAAAAGAGTGTAGAGGAAAAGAGGAGGAGGGGGGGAAACGGGGCATCCGCACCCTCTGCATTGCCGCTAACATTTAACTTGTGCTTTATCATTTTCTTTTAAAGCTTCTCTCTGATTGCTGCTTGCGCACTGACCTTTACTACAATACAAGACCCTTTCCGCTATCGCCTGCTATCAGAAGCAAGAGTGGGCACAGGAAGGTTTTACAACCACAAAATAAATAAATAAATAAAAATAAATAAATGTGTGTATATAGATATATATTAAAGAAAGAAAAACAAGGAGCTGATTGTGTCAGTGATTTACCTTTTTGCTCCACTTCTATTTTAAGCGTTGGAAGAGAGAATGAAAGGAGTGCAAGGGGGAAAAAGAGATTAAAATGAATTAACCATCATGTCCATGATCACATGCAGTTAACATGTCATGAGGTTACGGGCATTATGCATAGAGCTACAGCTGTCAGAGGAGAAAAAGAATGCGGTTAGACACTTTCAACACGTGAAAGAGAGACAGGTTAAAGGGTGTTCTGTCACAGTACAAAAGGACAGCGTATGTGCCTATGAAGACGAATCAATCTGCTGTTGTCGAGGGAAAGCTGCGGGGAAATACACGGGCTGAATTCTAGATAGCGGCGTATAGATTTTCATAAGAACTCAGGGACATCGACCAGGGAAATCTGAATTCCAGGTGGACAGATGGTAAGTTGCGCTGGAGGGAAACTCAAAACCAGAAAAATTGAGCTGTTCCTCTACTCTACAGATCCTCTCCAACTGCGGAGTTCTTGTCAGCCCTTGCAGGCTTCATATGAACACTTGAATAGTCTGTTATGGCACTAGATTGTTTCAGTTTTCAGAAACATAAAGTTTCTTGGATATATTCATACTTCTTAAAAACTCTGATTTTATTTTAGTTTGGCCAGATCGGGTTGGAGATTGGTGGGCTTGTCAAATGTTAAACATTTACTTATAATATGTCATTCCAAACACATATGCTATTCTTTCTTTCGGCACACACAGAGGATGTTTGAATGTTTAAAGATGTTTAAAGAAAGGTTTCGGGCCAATACACTGTCCTTTCAAACCTTCACCGGATAAACAGACAGACAGAAAGACAAACATCTGGCCACAGTTTCTACACTATCACAGTGTTCTTTTTATCAAAATCCCTATTTCGTGCAATAGTTTTGGTTTAACATATGAATGAATCTGTAACACTTTATGATAACTATACACAAATCATCTGTTAAGCGTTAGCAAATAGTGAATTCATTATTTGTTAAGCATTAACTCTGCATTAATGAACATTAGTAAACAGTTCATAACTACAGATACAACTGCTCTTTGATTAATTTTTCCTGACTAAATTTAGTATCACATTATTTACAAATCATTTGTATTTAAGAGAAGTTTGGGGGGGGGGGGGGGGGGTTGTTAAGATAATTTAAGATGAGTTAGTAAATGATTAATAAACTATTTAAATAAACATTTAAATCTCATTATTCAGGCATATACTAATAGTTAATTTGAATGTCGATAAATGCTTTATTAACTTCATCCAGTTTTGGGACCAAATCTAAAATGAGGACTATTTATGATTTGTAAATCTTTTATAGATGACCATTAAAGGCTCAGCATCAAATGAACAATACACATTTGTAATCTTATATGAACAGTAAAATTTATGTACAGTTTAAACATTGCCGAATGACGAGAGAGTCAGAATATAACACAGAATTGGATAAACCAACAACGACAACAACATAATAATTTAACAATTTATTATGATACAGCATTTCAATGTTATTTAGCGATATTTAAACTGTACAGTAATTTTAGTTCAGTTAAGATTGCATTTGATACAGTTTCATTTGTGTATCTTCAAATTAATAAGAAATTAATATAGAATGCATTTATAAAGCATAGTCCTCACTTTAGATTAGGTCACAAAACTTGATGAAGTTACGTTAACAAAGAATTAACATACAAATTAATTATTATTATATGCCTTAACAAAAAGATATATCTGCTCCTCAAATGTAACATCACACGAAGTGGCTTCCTGTTCCAAGCACTCTACCAAACTGTATGGGGAGACTCAAAAAATGGTAATAATACAAAGTGATGTAATACTTTCGAATATATATAAATACATATATACTTTTCGAATATATATATATATATATATATATATATATATACATACAAATGTATATATACATATAAATGTATATATATATATATGTATATATATATGTGTGTGTGTGTGTGTGTGTGTGTGTGTGTGTGTGTGTGTGTGTGTGTGTGTGTATATATATATATATATATATATATATATATATATATATATATATATATATATATATATATATATATATATATATATATATATATGTATATCTCCATGCCAAATATCCGATGGCCAGAAAGTGATAATTTATTTATAATTGTTACAATTTTGGTATTTGTGATGCAGCTAGTCCTGTTTTGTATGCCATAATTTTATATAAATTTCACTTTAATATGTAATAGGACTAAAAAGTGGCCATAAACAAATATTTTCTCAATTCAAATGAGCGGCTTGGACCCAGAAACAGTATTCCATATGCACTGATACGTCACAATTTAACAAGCGGATAAACACTGTGTGGGACTTGTGGAGCTGCATATTGATGGATTTGCTCTTCAGTGTTTGGACTTTCAGCTGTGTAATTTAAACCACACTGACCTGAAATAAACTGAACTTGAAATCTGCGCTTCTATGTTAGAATCAGCTTTGACACGATCTACATTGTAAAAGCACTATATAAATAAACATGAATTGAATAAATGTTAATTTAAATAGTTTATTAATCATTTACTTACGCATTCCGAATTATCTTTAAAAACCAGCAACTTCTTTCAAATAACTGGTTTGTAAATGATGAAATACTTAATCTATTAATGAAAAAAATAACAACAAAGTATGAAAATACAATCATTAAGCACATTATATATGTGCTAATAAGTCAAGAATACAGCATTTTTATTAGCAGTTATAAACTGCTTATTAACATCTGTTAAAGCAGATAATGAATTCACTATGTTCTAATGCTTAATAAATGATTCGTAGTGTGTAGTTTTTATAAAGTATTACCAATGAATCCCATGAAACTGGTCCAGAGCACAGAAAAAAGAAGACATAGCAAAATAAATGTTTTTCATATGAAACTAATAAAATAAAGTTCATTTTTTGTAGACAATTAAGATTTTCCTTTTTTTGCTTTTTTATGTCTTAAAATAAATAGGTTTCCATTGTACACAAATTTTTTTTGTAGTAATGTGTTTAATGCATGCCAATTAAATTACAGTTATTTTAAAAGTGCTGAACTACAGTAATTTTATAGCTATGATAATCACTGTACCATTGAGGAAAGTGAAAATAGAAAAGAAAGAAAGAAAGAAAGAAAGAAAGAAATAAAGATAAAGGAAGGAAGAAAGATAAAGGAAGGAAGAAAGGAAGGAAGGAAGGAAGGAAGGAAAGGAGGGAGGGAGGGAGAAAGGGAGAGAGAGAGAAAAAGGAAGGAATGATGGAAGGAAGGAAGGAAGGAAGGAAGGAAGGAGGGAGGGAGGGAGGGAGGGAGGGAAGGAGGGAGAAAGAGAGAGAGAGATAGAAAGGAAGGAAGATGGAAAGAGGGAAGGAAGGAGAAAGGATGGAAGAAAGAAGGAAAGGAGGAAAGAAAGAAAGAAAGAAAGAAAGAAAGAAAGAAAGAAAGAAAGAAAGAAAGAAAGAAAGAAAGAAAGAAAGAAAGAAGGGAAAGAAGGAAGAAAGGAAGGAAGGAAGGAAGGAAGGAAGAAGGTTGAAAGAAAGAAAAAAAGAAAGAAAGAAAGGCGAAGGAAGGAAGGAAGGGAGGGAAGGAAGGAAGGAAGGAAGGAAGGAAGGAAGGAAGGAAGGAATGAAGGAAGGGAGGGAGGGAGGGAGGGAGGGAGGCAGGGAGAGAAAGAGAGAGAGAGAAAGGAAGGAAGGAAGGAAGGAAGAGGGAAGGAAGGAGGAAGGTTGAAAGAAAGAAAGAAAGAAAGAAAGAAAGAAAGAAAGAAAGAAAGAAAGAAAGAAAGAAAGAAAGAAAGAAAGAAAGAAGGGAAGAAAGAAGATGGAAGGAGGGGAGGAAGGAAGAAAGAAAGAATAAAAGAAAGAAAGAAAGAATAAAAGAAAGAAAGAAAGAAAGAAAGAAAGAAAGAAAGAAAGAAAGAAAGAAAGAAAGAAAGAAAGAAAGAAAGAAAGAAGAAAGATACATTCTATTAGAAAGAAAGAACGAACATGTAACATTCATCCACATGGCCAGTCATTTGTTGCTAGGTCAGCCAATACAGTTTGGCTGGATCTCAGAGAACGCAGTACACTTAATACTGGGACAAATCCTGTTCTCTGAGATTCCGCCAGGCAAAGAACATTATGAAAACCCCACTGTTGCAACCAAACAAGTCCAAATAAGAAAATAACTTCAAGTCAAAAACAGCATTCAGCAGCCTGAGGGTGACATGAGGGCTCTGGCGTCCTGGGGAGTCAAACTGTGATTAGTAAATAAAACTGTTACGGACCGCCTGGAAATGCCTAGAGGAGGTAATGCAAAAAAAAAAAAAAAAAGACATTAAGACAAAAAAACAGCAACAACGACAACAAAAATATGTGAAAGTGCTCACAGCGGAAATAATAAAAAAGAGACATAATCACAGGTATTCCTGGGGAAAAGCTGGAAAACATGACACTTGATGAAACAACAGCTTGTATTTGTGTGGGATTTCGACTTCAATAACCCATAGATACGGCCGCAGATTAAACTAACATTAAAATCCAGCAAGCCTTCTTTATTTTGGGATCTTGGTGGGAAATGTGTGGCAGATGATGCCGTCTGGTATGTGAAGTCTCTGGAAACATTCTTTGAGAAGACGAGACAATTCAATCAGAGAATAATATTACTATCTAATTGTTTAATGGAGCAAAACAATCCATACTCTTAATGTAATGGGAAATCTGAGAGTAGAAGTGAGGCGTTTTGTTTGGAGTTCATGTTAGATTCGTGTGCAGTCATTTGTCTTTTCTGACAGTCGTGTCGTTGCGGTTTCTTGTGAGCAAACACAACGATCAAGCACTAACAAAAAAGAAATCATGCTTGTCTCTGTGCGATTGCATGTGCAGGCCTAACGAATCATGCTAGTGTTTGTATGATTGCATGGACATCACGGAGCATCACTTTAGGCCATCGTGTTGTGATTTATGCACTGCTGTAATGTTGCTGTTAAAAGGCAGACAGCTAAAGTTACCCTTGAAAGGAAGAAAAGAACGTT